AGAGGCTCGTGTTCTCGGTTGAAAGGGTAAATCATGACTCACAGTGAAAGTGTACAACCTCTGTAGAGTGTAAAACTGGTATATCAGCCATGCTCACGGTCATGAGTAGCCTTGGAATATTTATAGAATAGATGATCACTAAGAATTATTTGTTTATGCTATTCATTACTCATGTTTACATTGATCATGTATTTTACTTTGGGATTGAAACACCTTGTTGCTACTCTTATGCTAAAATTGTGACAACTAAAAGCTGAATGCTATTAAACCTGTGTCAAGCCTTTTGAGCCTTATGAACCCCATGTTACACTTGTTGAGTACGACATGTACTTACGCTTGTTTATTTTGATTATTTGGATAAAAATCCCGGATGGGTAACAGATGGCTATGATAATGACGACTTTTTTGAGGACTACTAGACTTGTGGTCAACCAGTTGACATCCCTGTGATATGGAGCTTCCGCTAGAGATCTTTTCTTTATACGTCCTCTATATTTATGTGAAGACTCTATCTTATTATTCGTGATGTAATAAACACTTGTGATGATACTATTTATAATTTATCGGCTTATGTGTTTGACTGATCTCTGGGCGCACATAAGATTTTGCATCCCATTTTATCCTTAAAATCGGGCGTGACAATATTTTGCTTTTAATGCGTTGCATGTATAAGCAATACATTGGTCTTTGGCCAAGTAGCCTAAGATCAGGGGGAGTCGGGTAATTTGAAATTAGCTAAATGAAGAAGTGACCCAATTGATGGGATGAATAATTGTGAAATTAAGATGGTGGATAACACACTTAGATGATTTGCGATTTTTAAAGAAAAGGCATTTCATGAATTTTTCATTAATGGCAATTGGAAATTTCTAGAAGAAATTCCATGTGATTTTGAATGTTGCGTATTTTATACATTTGAAGTATATGGTCCATTTTTTATGTATGAGTAATTGGATCATTTTTTTGCTAAACAAAAAAGAAGCTAGACAATGAAATAGTTTTTTAAACCATGATATATGCAAATCAGGGGGAGAACATCCCTGAGTTTGTAGGAATGCTGAACATTTTTAAGTGCACTTTATGTATTCTAGCTCGCTGCATTTAGTGAATAATAACCCATGTTAAAATATGCACGTGAATATTTCCCATAAAACTACATCATAGCATACATGAATAGGCCTCCACTTGTAGCTAGAGATACATGAATTTGAATTATTTTAAGCCCATGATAGGAGATATCTTTTGAAGTATGCTATTAAAGATCTAATATTGGCATTAGGGGGAGAGAAAGCCTATGTTGAATGCCAAATATTATTTCCAAAGAAGGAAAATTGTCTTAAGAGAATATTATTCCTTTAAGCTTGAAGCAGGAATAGTATCACGCACTAAATCAAACAATAGTTTGACTAATGCTCTTGTGAAGCATGAAGCGGAGCATATGCTAGATATTTTTTGAAAATGAGAGGAGTAACTTGAAGTTATAAACCAGAAGTTGTGTTTACTAGTAGTAAACTAAATGTTGTATACTATCAAGCTAAAATCTACGGAGACACCTGTAGATTCTGGTTTAGTGTATACTTGTTAAATAGAAATAAAATAAAAATCCTCTATTCTCATGAAGAGAACACCTCATGAAGAAGGTTAAGCACCTCATGAAGAGGATCATCATGAAGATAAAATCCAAGACACTAAGCACGTGCATCATAGTGTTGGGTACGCAGAACAATAAATTATCTCTTGTTTGGGAAATGACAAAAAGATAGAATAATCTCACATTATGAGAGTGTTGGGAGAAAATAATAGTTGTCGACAATGCTACCTCTACAATTGCAAATGTTTCTCTTATGAGAACCCGGATTCGGAAAACAAAGTCCATGGCAAAGTGGCCTGTAGCGATTATATTGGGTTAATGAAGAAAGCAATTGAGGTTGAATCTCCTACTAAGAAGAAATAAATGTTCTGCTATATCTCTAGCAAATGAAATGAATGACTATAAAATATGCAGTTAATAAGTGGATTATGAAGATCCATATAGTTCCTGAAGAATATAAATCACAACATATGAAAATTAAATGTAATACCAAGTATTAAGAAGTCTAAGGTAGAATGTATATTCCTGTATGAATATTGAAGTCTAAAGAAGAGTATGTCCTACAAGGAAAAGAGTCATTGAACGACTTTGTAGCGAATAATACTATTTTATTATGTATATCACATAAATATCTCTCATGTAGTAGAGAATATATCTCATAGAAGAGAAATATTATTCGCTAAGAATGAGAACATCCTTGATGAAATTAATCCATGAAGGATTTACCAGTTGATTCTTAAATAAACACCATCAATCCATGAAGTGAATATAGACCCAAGAAAAAGAAAATGAGGAATCCTAAATACCATAGAAGGTATGAGAATAATGATGATTTTGGCAATTGAATTATCCCCTAAATGCCAAATACAAGACTGAATCTATTATTTAGTGATACAATCAAAGTCTTGAAGATTTGTAGAACATATAATTTGAAAATCCACTAAGGAAGAATTATAAGTATTCAAACTCTAGTATAAGTTTGATGCACTATCTAGAAGATATTGAATATTGTAAACTATTTAACCCCACAATCCTTTGAAAGGATTTATTATCTTGAAAGATAAATTTTATTTACTTTGCACAACTAATAAGTGGTCATTTATGTACGAAGCATATTGCTCTTGTTTACTCATATTATAATTCATAGAAGAACTGTGAGCCAATATTTTGAAAGATATGCATACCATTATTAAGCACACATTTATGAAAAGTGTGGTTTGAACAAGGGTGTTCAAAGGATGTCTTTATAAGGGGGAGCAATTTGATTGAATCTAGCTTGAAGGTAATTAAAACCACTAGAATTACACAGATCAAGTAGATCATATTTACTAAAACATTGAAGTTTATGCATTTATCATGAAGATAAATATTTATTCATGAAGAATAGAATATTCTGAAGAATACATGACCAAAAAGGTTAAATGTTATACTCTTTTTCCCTATATGAGTTTTTACTTAAAGGTTTCTCACACAAGGTTTTTAATGAGACAACATGTGCAATGCAATTAACGAATGCGATGCACTTTTTTCTCCGAGAACCATTTTTCCCCACTGGGTTTTCGGATGGAGTTTTTAATGAGGCATGTGCATATCGTGGTAATAGTCCAAGGGGGAGTGTTGTAAAACATATGGACTGTTTCCTAGAAGGAAAGGAGGAATCCTAATCCTAGTCCGTTTATATGTGAGCTCTTACCAAACTTTTAGGTCTTGGCATGACTATATATATATACATAGGAGCTCTATATTGTAAGAGCATCTCCAAGAGTTTCCTACTTTTTTCTCCTAAAAACTTAGTTTGGTAACTCCTAAAAAGATTTAGAGAGGAAAAAAGAAGGTCATCTCTAAGAGTTTCTAATAAATGGCATCTAAAAATCAAATTTGGGGCCCACAAGAATTATGTTGCGGCTTTTTTTCTTTTCCATCATGGGAAACTACAGGGCGCGCCGAACCCTAAGACCGCGAGCTCCCTACCGCCGCCGCCATCGTCCAGTGCATCGCCTACTTCGCCGTGTCGACGAACCTAGTGAACAACCTCAAGGACTGGCTGCACGAGGGCTGCAAGGCCGCCATGAACGGCGTCACCAACTGGATGGGCACGAGCTCCATCACGTCGCTCGTTGCCGCCTTCCTCGCCGATACCTTCCTCGGCAGATACTGGACCATCACGCTCTTCCTGGTCATCTCCGTTGTGGTACGTATGTACGTCGTCGTCCACCATCAGACGCAGAGTCGCAAAGCAAGCTCACCCACATGGCCTCGTCGCCGTTCTCTTGTTTTGTTTCTGGCACGTACGTACTCAGGCCTACGTGGTGCTCATGGTGAGCGCGGCGGTGGCACTGGAGAGCGCGGCCTTCTATGTAGGGCTGTACCTGCTGGCGCTGGGCAGCGCGCTGCAGCCGGTGCTGACATCGTTCGGCGCGGACCAGTTCGACGAGTCCGACGAGGAGGAGCGCGAGCGGCAGAGCTCCATCTTCAACTGGTTCTACCTCTCCATCAACGTCGATTGTCTGTTCGGCGGCACCGTGCTGGTGTGGGTGCAGTCCCGCGTCAGCTGGGGGCTTGGGTACGGCATCCCCGCGCTCTTCAGCGTGCTGGCTGTCGCGGTCTTCCTGGCCGGTAGCCCGCTCACCAGGGTTCGTTGTCGCCGTGTTCAGGAAGTGCGGCGTCGAGGTGCCGGAAGACGCGTCGACGCTACACGAGTGCGAGGACGTCGACGGCATGTCCACGATACAGGGGAGACGTCGACTCGGGCACACGAGGCTGCGGGAGTCGAAGGATACACGCGAGGCTGCGGCGCGTAAAGTTACGCGGATGAGGGAGATTTTTACCAACTTCTAAAATATTAGGAGATTGTATTAGGAGTCGTTGGAGATGGATTTTTTTAGATCTTTCTAAAAGCTTAGGATTAGGAGAAAATTTAGGTAACTCTTGAAGATGCTCTAATTACCATTAATTAGATAAATAAAGAATACCCTCTCTATCTTGTGTCTATTTGTTCTTATATTTTCATGTACTATATTGATTATGAGAGACTAACCAAAAAAAAAAAAAAGATCCTGACCGCTCACCACATGTTTTATAACATGTGGCACGTACGTGAAAAGGACAAATATAGAGGAACCGTTGACGTACGTTTTCTGGACTCACTCGTGATGATCATCCAACGTCGCAACCACTGCTGGTAGTTTGTATACGTTGCCGCCACGTTTGCTCCAGTTTCGTCATTTCTTTTCTTATCCTATAAAAACACAAATGACTCCGATGGGGAATATCCACTGAAATATCCGCTCCAAATGATCCATCCTAGTACATTCCTAACTTCCCACCAGCAGCAGGCACTAGTCTAGCAGGTAATCCGCCGCGACATCAGTAGCGTGCGCGTGCCGGTGCTGCTGTGCTAGCCACGGCCATGGCGACGCCCACCAGCACCGTCGCCGCCGGCGGCAACAGGCATTGGCATTCCATCCAAGTCCTCCCACTGCTTTTGCTAGTACCATGCTTCGCGCTTCTGGTTGAGAGCGGCGGCATCCCCACGACGCTGGACGGGCCGTTCCCGCCGGCCACGCGCGCGTTCGACCGCGCGCTGCGGCAGGGCAGCGACGACGTCCCGCTCTCGGACCCGCGCCTCGCGCCCCGCGTGCAGCCCCCGGCGCCCGAGCAGATCGCGCTCGCCGCCTCCGCCGACGGCGACTCGCTCTGGGTCTCTTGGGTCACGGGCCGCGCGCAGGTGGGCTCCAACCTCGCGCCGCTCGACCCCGCCGCCGTCCGCAGCGAAGTCTGGTACGGCGAGCGCAGCGCCGCCGACGCAGCTTCCTACCCGCACGTGGCCACAGGGTCCGCCGAGGTGTACAGCCAGCTGTACCCGTACCCGGGCCTGCTCAACTACACCTCCGGCGCCATCCATCACGTCCGCCTCCGAGGCCTGCGCCCGGCCACGCGCTACTACTACCGCTGCGGCGACAGCAGCCTCCCCGGCGGCCTCAGCGACGAGCGCTCCTTCACCACGCTGCCCGCCACCGGCGCCGGATGCTACCCGCGCCGCGTCGCTGTGGTCGGTGACCTTGGCCTCACGGGGAACTCCACCGCCACCGTCGACCACCTCGCCCACAACGACCCATCCCTGGTCCTCATGGTTGGGGACATGACCTACGCGAACCAGTACCTCACCACCGGCGGCAAGGGAGTCCCCTGCTTCTCCTGCTCCTTCCCCAATGCTCCGATTCGGGAGTCCTACCAGCCAAGATGGGATGGATGGGGAAGGTACCACTTGATCTCTTAAATCAACTCCAAATTAGAATCCTAGAGCTACTTGATTCTTGGACCAACTCTGCTAATCAATTACTACTAGGATGCCTTTCTTTTCGTTCTATACACGGGACTAAAAGGTTTTAGTCAGTAACTCTAGAGTGACTAAACATAGCAGCTGCCATCTAAATAGGGCCAAAGTATGTCCTAGAAAGTACCAACTCAGTGTGGTCTTTTTTTATGGTTATATATACACATGGCCACATGGGTTATGTTTTACATGGATTTAGATTCATGGAGCCGATTACATCGAAGATTCCACTGATGGTAATAGAGGGGAACCATGAGATTGAACCGCAGGGTCACGGTGGAGAGGTGACCTTCGCATCTTACTTGGCACGGTTCGCTGTTCCATCCAAGGAGTCTGGATCCAACACCAAATTCTACTATTCCTTCAACGCCGGTGGCATCCATTTTATCATGCTCGGTGCGTACGTCGACTACAACCACACAGGTAACAATTTATTCACTACTACTGTTTCATATTATGTACTATTTCTTTTTATTGTCACTTATTAATAACATATGTACACTTGAATATGATAAGCAATGTAGTGCTACTGTCATTCAAAGTAGCATTTTCTCTAGAGCTGACAAAGTAGCATTTTGGTATGTGCATATATTGTCTGCAGGAGTTCAGTACTCGTGGTTGGAGAAGGATTTGCAGAGGGTTGATCGACGAGTCACCCCTTGGGTCGTGGCTGCTTGGCATCCACCTTGGTATAACAGCTATTCCTCGCACTACCAGGAATTTGAATGCATGAGGCAAGAAATGGAAGAGCTTTTATATGAATATCGGGTTGACATTGTTTTCTCAGGACATGTAAGTCACAGATCTTTTTTTTCGATAAGGATGTAAGTCACAGATCTGGTGAAGGCTTGATTCGAATTTCATTACACTGCTTCAGAATCAAGACCTGCTGCAACTTACTACTATATAACTGGAACTTAAAATTTAGCATTTTATCATTCATGTTTGGGTTCATGTAGCATTAACTGGGCTCCAATAGAATATGCATTGTGGCAAATTACTAATTACCTCAATGTGTACATAGCGAGATGCTCTTGGGTCTGACACTAGTATTATAATTAATTTTAATATTTATTTCCTATATATATTATCATTGTCTTGAATTTGGTAACTGATATCCGTGGTTTTATATTTGGATACTAAAGGTACATGCATACGAAAGGATGAACCAAGTATTTAACTACACATTGGACCCCTGTGGCCCAGTTTACATTGGCATTGGAGATGGCGGGAACATTGAAAAAATTGACATTGATCATGCTGATGACCCTGGAAAGTGTCCCTCACCAGGCGATAACCACCCTGAATTTGGTGGGCTCTGCCATCTGAACTTCACTTCTGGCCCTGCCAAAGGCAAATTCTGCTGGGACCGACAGCCGGAATGGAGTGCATACAGAGAGAGCAGTTTTGGTCATGGGATCCTAGAGGTTACTTCACTTCAGTGACTCTATTTCTTATAATGATCCAACATCAGAGTTCAGCCATGCTACATCTTGCATTACTCATCATGAGTTAATGTGCATAATGCAGAAACTTGTGTCCAGTGTTTGTGTGTGTTTTAAATCTAGTTTTTTATTTTTAATTCTCATATGTATTTGTGTGTGTATGTGCATGAATTCAGGTCCTGAATTCAACATATGCCTTATGGACATGGCACCGTAACCAGGACGCATATGGAGAGAACAGTGTGGGAGATCAGATCTACATTGTACGACAGCCTGACAAGTGTCTTCTGCAGCCAACTAGTGCGTCATCCCTCAATTGGTGATTTGATTTGATGACCAAATTTCTGCTGTTATGTATTAATTAATATACATTCATATCCATGAGATTCTAAGTTGTTCACTCTCTTGGTTATTTGTTTTGGATAGCCCCCCTGGAGGATGCCCTTCTCCAGTGAGTAGCGACAGCTCAGGTGACTACCGGGCCATTACAAGTGGCCAGCTCTCCTGGAGAATGTTTGTAATTATGTGTGTAGCTTCAATCTGCATAGCTGAAGTACATTTTATACCAACATTACTTTTCTTGATTTTGCAATTGTAGATAGGCAGAATGCAAGATGCACCTTGGTGAATAGTGTACTGCAAGGTTTGTTGATTCTTTTATTTGTGTGTTTATTGTTGATTTGTTGCAAGGACGTGACAATCTTTGTTTTATTGTTGTATAAAGAAATGTGAAACATCATTTGGTGCATAATTGAGTTCGTCAGGTGCTGCTGCATGTTCTAGCTTGTTTGTTTGGCACATCCTAAATTTTCATGGTTTTCATGATGACTCTCATAGTCCCATAGGATAAAATTGCTCTAGATGTTGGAAGAGTGGGTCTAGAAAATTTCTCAAATGCAATCACCCTGCTTGAGATGCGAGTAGTTGTGTCCAAATAGTCAGCTAGACATGGCCTATTGGGGCACGAAAGTTCAATTAAATAGGTCATGTTGGCGACGCCATGTGATGAGGCATTGGCTTAGGCACAACTCGTACCGGTACGACCAGTGACATGATATCCATGTGCCTATTGCCTATGGCTGCACCCTCTACCAATATCTTCATAGTCCAGATCAGGGGTGCCCATCATCCAAATCAAGTCTCTATCGATGAAATCCATGTGCTTTTTTGTTGTGGGATAATGCAACATGCTATCACTTAGCTTGGGACACTATGGTAAATGGATTGTGTCAATGGCCATTTGCTTTCGGGGGTGGCCCAAGCACGGCTCCCTTGATCCGTGCCGCATGGTGAAAGGATCGAATGGATCATTAGGGGGGTTAGTTATTCTCTAAAAATTCGAAGCAACAAACCTTAACATATAATATTCTACAACAAACTTTCATATCTAGCCCAACCACGATCTTCTTCAATCTAGCTCTTGATACCACTTGTTAGAATACACGGTTGTATTTAATGGATCTACTAACCGAAGAACACGGAAGCATAACCACCATAGAAAAAAAAATGCAAGCGAGAACGACACTGATGCACGACGTTTTTTAACGAGGTTCGGTGATGTGTCTACAGCCCTGTTTGTTTCCACAACTGGCCAACGCGTGACCGCGATTAAGCGAACGCGGTTCCGAGGCCGCGTTTTGGGAATCGCCCCACCACGTTCATTTTCATTGTTAGATGCTCGTTCGTCACCGACCATTCGGCGGGATTATTTCACGTTTTCCGCTAAAATGCGCCGCCTACGCAGAACCAAACAGAGCCTACATCCTCAATGCATGACTACGGGCACTTTTCCCCATAAAACAACAGCTACACTGGCATCCGAGCGCTCCCATAGCCTCGCCGCCACCCAAACGAGCCGCCAAGTTGTCTTACTGTTACAACAGGGGTTACCTCATATTTATGGCCCTCTAGGGTACAGAGTTTGACTCCAACTCTATCATAGCCCCTAATACAAGTGAACTGGTAACTCAACCAAATTGTCCACATATTCAACACATATCTAATATCACTTAAGTACTTCAAGCACACAAGAACACCAAGCAAGAACAATAAGTAGAGTGCAAGAAGTAAAACTGGACAAATCGCAAAGAAAAAGAAGTAAAACTGGACAAGAGACTAGTAGATTTTTCTCATGGTATTGAGGTGTTGCCACACTACCATAATTTTGGAGCACCCACTAAGGACTGCTCAAGATCCACTAAGAGTACCCCTTCTCCATCTGCGAATTGGAGGGTTTCAAACTAAGCATAAAACACTTGGCCTTCCAACAATAACCTCGAATGGAAAATCACCAACACCAAGCTGTTTAGGTGCTGCTGTGCTGTTAAACACAAAGAGTAACAGGTAAGACCTTCCTTGGCATCTTATCCAAGAGCTCTAACGGATGCACACTTTCTACTCGCTCAACGCTAGCAAATCCTTAATCTTGAACTTGATCACTTGATAATGCCCTTCAATTTCCTCTAGATCACCAAGATGTGTATTTGTGTTGCACTGGTCAAAGGGAGCTTACAAAGAGAGTTGAACTCACATATATAGCCAAAGAAACCATCTACCTATTGGTTGAATTCTTGAAGACGCAAGCATTATTACTGGATGATCCAACTAGGACCCAAATGTTTTTTTTTCTAGTGCAAATCAACCTAAATTTTATCATTTTTGTATGAATTTTTTCCAAAATTAATACTGAACCCAAACTTTTGTAGCAAAGTACACGGATGCACTATGGATGTGCACCATTTCAATTTTTTAGTGATAGAAAGATGTTTTTGAAAGAGTCTTCCTGTTTGCACGAAGATATGGGTTTGCACTACATATTTTCCTAGGCAAGTTTGCATGGTGTTGTTTTATTTAAGATGTTATTGTGTCTGAACTAGCATTATAAAAAACTAGTTAGGTATGTCTGTCTTTTTATATATTTGCTTGAAGTAGTTCCTACAAAATAAGTTGGCACAAGGAAAAGTCTTGGAAAACTAGCATCAAACAAATATTTAAATGAATGAGTAACTCTTTTCTTTTACCAGAAAGAACTGGTAAAAATGGGTGTTTGTAGGATCCAACATCCTTATTTAATTTATAATTGGACTAGTAAAAATGGTGTTTGTAGGATCTTACATTCTTATTTAATTTATAATTGGTCAATTTCAGGTCTTTTAATAATGACACCAAACTCTTGACGTTGGATGACTTCAGCTACACACACATCACATGTTTCTTATCTTAGGTCAGGTTGTAGCATGCTACATTGGAGGTCGTATTTTCCACTTCTTTGAATTAAATGGTAAGCTATGGTCTCATATTTAAGTTCACCATGCCCACACATGAGTTGAGTCATTCCTTCGTCTTGGCCTTCACCTCCAGCAAGATGCCAATTGTGCTATCAAATACATTCTTCTGAATATTCATACCATTGATTGCATGGCATATGTTTAGGTCTTTCTAGTACGACAAATACTTAAAAAACCTGACATTTTCTTGAAAGTATCCCCATCTAAGGGCTTGATAACCTTTCTTTTCTTCCCATCCTTGGTCTTCTTCTCGAAAACAGATTTGATGTTGCTGACTATTTTAAACACTCCTTCGACATTACTTTATTTGATGGAGCAAAATAACTGACTTCATCCCTAGGCTCAAAAAACATCCATATCGACAACAAGTTGTAGAGGTCTAGATATAAAAATAGTTAGCACAAGATACTTTCGCTTCTGTTTTTTTCGAATACGCAGGAGATCTGCGTATCATTGCATTATAGAGAGAAAAGGAACGGCCCCTTACAAGCACCACCACCTCAGTCCTGGGCGGGCTGTGAGGGGTTGTTTCTTTACATCAAAGAACTTAAACTAAAAGAACTGAGAAAGAGGTGAGACCTGACCACAAAGAACACCAACCAACTAAACCAAGGTAATATATCCTAGCCCAACACCATGACCCAGACCTAGCGTGTGCAGGCCACGCGATCCCGCTAAGCACCAAAGGTGATATTCGTCTTTGAACTCTTCAAGCAGCCTGGTAATTCAGGGGTGAGACCCTTCAAAAATGCAAGCATTTTGGTGCTTCCAAAGGATCCAGGAACCTATGTGTTCTGCCCCTACTTCTTCTTTGGAATTCTCTTGGTTGCTTTTCGCCACCTATCAGTGAATGATTTCTCTCGCCTTGTGGGAGTCCGATCTTGCAGTCCCAAAGGAGTCAGGATCCGTGACCAAAATTCTTGAGCGAGGACACATATAGTAAGCAGAAGTTGGAGGCAGAGGAGGTGGTGGCGGCTGCGGAGCAGGGGAAGGCACCGCAGTCCATCCATCTCGATGAGTCGCACGCCCAAGTCCACCTAGGACGAGTGGGCGGTGGCGTGGAGCAGAGGTGGTACCTCGACTCCGATGCCAGCAACCACATGACCAGCTCTAGGGATGCTTTCTCCGAGCTTGACGACTGCGTGATAGGGTCGGTGAAGTTTTGGGACGGCTCGAAGGTAGAGATTCGAGGCCGTGGCACCGTCATCTTCTGGTGCCAGAACGGAGAGCACCATGTGATGATGGATGTGTACTACATCCCGCGGCTATGTTCGAGCATTGTCAGCATCGGGTAGCTGGACAAGCGTGGGTGCGAGGTGCTGGTCAAGAGAGGGGTCCTAAGGATTCGGGACCGGGAGCAGAGGCTACTCGCCAAGGTGCAGCGCTCTCAGAACTGACTCTACTTGCTTGACCTAAAGGTGGAGCAGCCGGTGTGCCTAGAGGCGTGCCACACCGAAGAGCCGTGGCTGTGGCATGCCTAGTTCGGCCATCTCAGCTTCGACGCGCTTGGTCGGCTAGAGAAGATGGTACGTGGGCTGCCCCACATCAAGCACGTGAGCGAGCTGTGTGACATCTGCCTAGCAGGGAAGCAAAGGAGGCAGCCATTTCCAAAGGCAGCCAAGTATCGCATGGGGAACATGTTGGAGCTCTTCCACGGTGACCTCTACGTGCCTATCATGCCTGCCACGCATGGCGGGCGACGCTACTTCTTGCTGCTCGTGGATGACTATAGCCGCTACATGTGGCTGTAGCTCCTGATGAGCAAGGATGAGGTGGCAGCGGTGATCAAGAAGTTCCAGGCATGGGCTGAGGCAGAGTTTGGAAAGAAGCTGCACGTGCTGAGGACGGATCGTTGCTGCGAGTTCACATCGGTGGAGTTCGCCGTGTACTGTGTGGATCAGGGGATGGTGCGCCACCACACCGCGCTATACTCACCACAACAGAATGGCGTGGTGGAGCGGTGGAACCAAACGATGGTGGGCATGGCTCGAAGCATGATGAAGGCAAAGGGCATGTCAGCAGAGTTCTGGGGAGAG